ACTCTTAATATGCCAAGATATTATCTAGATTTGACAATCAATTCATTAAAAATAAAAGAAACAACTATAAAAATTCACCACACTGCCTTTCTTGCTCCTCTTTTTCTTCGTCATGATTGCATCAATGGGTGAGTATCTTGCTCCTTGCGTTCATGATATATCATATCATGTTTCATTTTTTTCTTTCATGATATGATATAGTCCTGAATATTTTTAAGTGATCTTCTAACCTTAAAAGAGCGTTCGGCCCCCGACATTTGCAACAATGTGCTTCATATACTCTACTTCCTATCTCAATTTATGTGATACCTTTTGAATGTCAAAAGTCAAACGAGGTTTGATTAACCACAATCTTTTCATATAACTTTTAGGAAAAATGCACAAGTACCCCTCCAACCTATGTCGAAATCTCAGAGACGCACTTATACTATACTAAGGTCCTATTACCTTTCGAACTTATTTTATAAATAATTTTCTACCCCTTTTCGCCTACATGGCACTATCAACCAGATAGCTTGAAAAAATTGTCAACACACGCTGGGCCCAGAAGATAGTGCCACGTAGACCGAAAAGAGGTAGAAAATTATTTATAAAATAAGTTCGGGGGGTAATATATATATAGGACCTTAGTATAATATAAGTGTGTCTCTGAGATTTCGGGCATAGGTTGGGGGTACTTATGCATTTTCTCTAACTTTTAAATACCTTAAATTATTAATTATTGCGGCTTAAAATATATATAAATTTTGTTTCAAATGGAAAACTTAAAGATTCCCTATCGAATTCACGGTCAAAATTTAAAAGTTTGACTTTGAAATTTAAACGATGCCACATAAATTGAACCAAAAAGAGTAATATGAGAGAACTACTAACCTATTGACCGACTTTTATTGTTTTCCCCACTAACTCAACTTGAATCTGAACTACGATTCTAATAAAGTCTTTCCAAGATATAGGATATCCTTTATGTGACATACGCACTTAAACTTCACTCACCCTCTTTTTCTCCATCTTAATTCATTATTTAATAAATCTTGAAGGTCTTCGTTTTCACGTAGAAGCAAACTCTCAAGTCTAATATTGATTGATTCTAAAGTTCATTTAATACTTCATTCATCTTAATTTATGTGATGATATTTGACTGAAAACTAAGAAGTTTAAGAAAGAAAGATTTTTAAAAAATTTCTGCAATTTCAAATAAGTCATAAATATTTGTGCAATTATTAATCATTTCATTAAGGTTAAATCATTACAACAACAACATACTCAATGTAGTCCCACATATAGTGATGTCCAGAGAAAGTAGAGTACACACGGATCGTACCCCTACCTCAAAGGTAGAGAGATTGTTTCAGATTGACCCTCGACTCAAAGGAAAAAATTGTCTAAAGCAATAAGTAATGAAAGTAAAAATGTGTCATCTTTTTTAAGACCGACAAAAAATGAAATTAGAGTGTCACATAATTCAAACGAAGGAACTATTTATTTTTCATAATACTGTTAATTTAACTAATATTTACTTTTTTTCTTACACAGAGGTAGAAGCACTTGGTTGTGAAAAGCCAAGCACAACATGGTCAGGGCCTTGTTTCTTTAGTGATGAATGTAACAATCAATGCATCAATTGGGAAGGAGCTATTCATGGAGAGTGTAGTTTTGCACTTGGTCCTGAATGCTTTTGTTACTTTTGTTGATAAATTATCATCATCTAGATTGATGCTATGCATGCAAAAATTAAATAAAAAAATAAAAGATACATGAAGTTTGTAATAATATGAGAGAATTAAATAACAAATTAAATGAGCAAAGTCATTTATCTAAAGTATATAAATAATTAATTGTTAATTTGTTCTTACTAATACCAACAAACATACACAACGTAATTACACGGGTTTGAAGAGGGTACTGTGCACATATCGTATTTCTATCCTGAGAGGTAAAGAGGTTGTTTCCTATATAGACCCTAGTGTCACGGACTTAGAGTCTCACTAATGCTCCGTGTGGCACTTGACAACTTACTCACGAATCTTTCACGATCTTGTAAGCTCAAGTAAGCCCTTTGAAACTAGGATCGCTAAGAGAATGAAAAGGAAGACTAGAGAATTTTGGAAGAAGGCTTTTTGTGTTGTTTGGAGAATGTTTTACACTTGCTTGCTTGCTTTCTTGGTTGGATGGTTGGATGGTTGGATGGTGCCTTGCAAATGAGGGGCACCTCCTATTTATACTAACTCCTAGGGACTAAAGTACAATTTTAAATTACTTTCTAAGTCCCTAAACTTATTTACACTTTGGTCCCTCCCTAGAATCTTCTACTAATTCTAGGAAATTCTAAAGCTTTCCAAGAAAATATCTAGTCCATCTTCTAGAATTCTCTACACATGCTAGAGAATTCTAAGACATTCTTGGAAACTATCTAGGACCTTCCATTGCCTTCTAAGTTATTCTAGAGAATTCTAGGGAATTCTCTAGCCTTCTTGAATAATCTAGAGGGTTCTAGAGTTTTCCGGAAACCTCTCCACAACTCTAGACCCTTCCGCCCCTATCCGGACGCAAAATTCTACTGCGAAGTGGCGGGACGTGACACTAGGCTCAAGAAAATAACAGGATCAAAAAAATCAAGGCAAATATTGAACAAGGCATGATGACAAAGCATTCGGAAAAAAAAAACAGCAATTAAAATAAAATAATACTATAAGTGAAGAACAAGAAATAATAAAAAGTATAAGGAACCAACGTTATAAATTGTTACTTTTGTCGCTACTAAAGAAACAAGAATTAGTGACGGATAAATTTAATAGATAAACAACAAAATTCATCTCTGACAACAACTTATGAATTTTTTTGTTATATATATATATATATATATACGAGCTATTTAAAAACGGAATTGGGCTAAATCCAATTTGGGTCCTACATTACTAGAAACAAAGGTTTTCTCTACCATAAATTAATGAAAATTTGTGTTATGAAATATGATTTTTCCACTAAACTAATTCACTAGAAAAGCACATGGTGGGAAATAGATTCTCATTGATATACTAGGAATAACCACTAAATAAACCAACTTGTCCAACTCTTATTAAATCTTTAATTCTTTGTTTTTTTATAATTTATTTTTAATAATTTGTTTAATTACTTCTATTAAAAGAATATACATATACGGGTCGAAACGAACTGAATTAAGTGGATCATTCACCCATCCAAGCCTAAGCCTAAGTGAATTAAGCTGACTATGATTTTATGAGCTAATTTTGTTATTCTTATTAACACAAGTTTGAATGAAAAGTCAAAAGGTTATCTCCAATTATCTTGACAATTTTTTTCCTACTATATTTCTCTTGTTTTTACTAGGAGTATAATAATTTCCCTTTTCTTTATCTTTATGTTGTTATTTTAAATGCATAAATTATGTCACTTTCCTTTAATCAAGGTGAAAACAGTATTTAGCTAATGTTAGTTAATTACAACCATTGCCAAACACCACTTTTCCCAGATTTTACGTTTAGCCAAAGATACAATAATGTTTAGATATTTGTTGTAAAAAAAAACATATTATTACACAACAAAGAAACAAATAAATTGTATCAAAGTTACTATAGAAAGGTAGAAGTATAAAAGAAATAGAGCAAGACCCAGAAGGCTCGTAGCTACCATGACCTCAAAACTCCAACATTAGCAAGAGCATTTAGAGATAGAGGCGAGTGCGTGAGTCAGAAACACTAAAGTATTATTGAATTTTATTTATAAAGATTGAATTACGTTCACTTGTTCATATGTTGGAAGATAATAGAAAAAAAGTTTGTCGACAAAACCAGAATGAACTACCGCCATAAAAAAGGTATATTATCAAAAACGAAAAAACCATTTTACTTATTTATATCATCATGTGTTGCACTAGTCCCTCAAATGGGGAGATTTGCATTGAAAGTTTTTTTTTTTGGGGGAAAATCGTTTCTTCATTAAATGTTAAAATTTCTCCTCTTTTTTTTTTCTTTTTTCCATTAAAGTTTGTCAATTTCTTGAGATTGAAAGATGCATATATTTTTTGAAGAAATAAAAATATGCAATTATATTATCTCTAGTCTCTAAATCTAATAACAAGTTTATTCCATTCCATCTGAATTCACATATTCATACAAAAAATTCTCGATAACATACATTAATTTATGTAATATTCTTTCCTTTCTTGTTAATTATAAAAAAAATATGATTATTTTTTTCATATTAAGTAATAATTTTAAACTTTAATCTTTTCTATTTTTACGCCTCAATAGGATTAGTAAGGTAAATCATAATCCATATCTTACTGTATTTTTTTAGTTTCGATTTTATTATTAAAACAAAAAAGACCTAGCCCTAGGCAACCTAGTAAATTTTCTTAAATTTTAAAAAATTATTACTGAAATGACTTATTGTTAAAAAATCTTCTACAACTTATTTTAAATCATAAATTTTTTTAAAAAAAATTTCTCTATTAAACTCCGTAATCATTCAAAAACATTCACATAAATTGAAATGAAAAATAAAAATAAAAATTTACACCTAATTTAAGAAATAAATTTGTTGGTACATGTCAACTATTAAATGGAAATTTAAAACATAAAAACAGATGTCAACTAGGCAGGTTGTATCCTCTTGAAGTACAATCTGGACTCATGTTAACCTCAAATTGATGATTTCAATATTCTATGAACTTTGTGACAAAAAATATACTTATATTAAAACAGATAGTACCTCACTTAGAAAAAATTATTCCTTCCGTCCCAATTTACGTAACACTCTTTCTTTTCTAGTCAATCTCAAAAAAATAACACATTTTTATATTCAGTATTAACAATTTAACTTTAAACTTTTCTGTTTACCGCTCCCTCATTTATAACCGTAATTTTTTTAATGGCTTATTTTTTTCTTTTATTTTATGTCCAGTGAAACACCGTAACGAAATTATTTTTATAAAATAAAATGCTCCATGTTTATTGTAGTTGGTATCCTTGTATATATATATTTCTATATTGGGAATTTGCCATTTTGCAGTTTACAAGTATGGAAGAAAAAGATGTTTCATGTAGAGAGGATGTTAAAAACCCACTCTCCATATTTTTCAGAGATATAAGGTAAAGTTTTTTTCCTTTTAATTTTCTTTTTATCTTCTTGGTCAATTTTTTTAAAGATTTATCATTTAATTTAAAAGGTTTATACACACTTCACATGAAAAAAAATGACAAAATTAATTTGCTTTTTTCCTCATTTTTATCCTTGTGCCATACCAATAATATTGCTCGGACTCTTTACAAATGTTGTCGCACTCGTGACAATCCTCAGAAAATGTGATACTTTAGGAGGAATCGACACACACGGCTACAAGAAAAATTATAGGATTTTTCGTCGCTAATCCGTAGATAAAATGCTTGTAACTAACAGATTTTTTAGATAATCCGTAGCTAATCCATTGCTAAATAGGATTAGTCATGGATTATGTTGTTGTTATTGTTGTTTAGCTACAAAAATTTTCTATCGTTAATTCCTAATATTTTAGTAATATCTTAGTTGCGATATTTGAAGAGTCTGAGCAGCATAGTCCCGTACTATATGGAGCAAAACAGAGGAAAATGTTAATGAGATCTAATAGAGTGAAGGGTGGAAATATTGGGTTTGATAATTTTTTGTATAGAGGAGAGGACATATTTAAATAATAGCTGACAAATGTATAATATTTTGTATATTAATGGGATAAGACACAAGTACCCTCTAGACTATGACCGAAATTCCAAAGACACACCTTCACTAAACTAAAGTCCTATTACCCCCGAACTCTTTTTTTTTTTGTAAGTTTGTACATCTTTATGGCTTACGTGGCCTCCAAACATCTCCCACACGCCTCAATTAAGTGAAGTCACAGAGTGTGCCACGTAAGGCAAAAGATGTACAAAATTACAAAAAAAAATGAGTTTGGGAGGTAATATGACCTTAGTTTAGTTAAAGTGTATCTCTGGGATTTCGGTCATAGTTTAGGGGTTCTTGTGCCTTATCCCTATATTAATATATAATATACATATTTTAAACAAAATAACGTATATTTGACATGTGATATAATTATTTTCAATCGATCAGCCAAATGTGTAACTTTGTCCTCTTTTTTTTTTTTCCTTTGAGCAGATCAATTTTTAAATTGGATGAACTTGGACAAGAAATAGGAAGGATTGCTCTACCTGCTGCACTAGCTTTAACAGCAGATCCAATTGCATCTCTAGTTGATACAGCATTTATTGGCCATATTGGTATCAACTTCACAATTTTTTATGTTTTCCTATTATCTTGCTATTAGAGGTGGAGCTAGGACTTTTAGTTTACAAGGTCCAACTTTTGGATCACAATTTTGTTTCGCTTACTGGATTCTGAATAGATTATTTGTACAGATTAAATGAAAGAGTTAATGATCAAGAGTCTATATGAACTATCAGATGTTCATTTTCCTACATGAACTATCGTCAACTATTTATCATAACACAACTTAACTATCAGTTATTCCCTTTTCGTACATTGTTCAGGTAGAGGTGTGTTTGATAAACATTTTGTGACTCCCCAGCTTAAGATTAGAAGTCCCACATTTGCAAAAACACAGTAGAGGTGTTGGTATATAAGTATGCAGACCTTACCAACTAGGGATGCGTTTTAAAGCCGTGCGGACATAGGCCAAAAGCGGACAATATCACTAGCGGGTTGGGTCGTTACACATTTGCTGATAGTTAATCTAGGAAATTCGTAGACTTAATAGTTCAGGTATGAAACTCAAAATATCGAGATACTTGAGGTGTAGTTTTGACTCTTCAACACAAATATAGAGTGAACCAAAGTTACTGAGTTCTGCCGAACTCATGAGTAGTATTGTGGCACATAAGTTAGACTTATAAACTAAGATGGCTGTTGAGCAAAACAGGTTTAAGATCATAAAAAATAAACTCGAATTTCGTTCGAAACAGGTCCGATTGAGCAGGCTGCTGTAGGAGTTTCAATTGCTGTATTCAATCAAGCATCTAAGATTGCAATATTTCCCCTGGTCAGCGTAACAACTTCTTTTGTCGCGGAGGAAGATGCAATCACGAATGCAAACGAAGACCTTCAAGATGATAAATGTATGGAGAAGAATGAAGGAGATGATGGTGAAGCATTTGAAACCGATTCACCATCAAAGAGTGAAAGCAAAAGCCTGATACCTAAAAATGGTATGTTGGAAAGTGAAAATCAAACGCTTTTTAAGCAGTTATGTTTTTGGATAGAAGTGTTGAAACTGAAAATAAGTAGCTTGTTACACACTCGAGAAATGATTCACGTGCATGTTTCCGTTCTGCTTTTTTATAATGACACTACGTTTTCAACTTTTCATTTACCTTCAGATTCTACAGAGAGTATATGCAAGTCCGAAAAGATAGTTACGAGCTTTGAAATAGTGAAATCTAAGCCTGAAAAGAGACACATTCCATCCGCGTCATCTGCATTGATCATTGGTGCTGCTCTTGGCATCATCCAAGCAGTATTTCTTATCGTTGGAGCAAAGCCTTTATTAAATTTCATGGGAGTCAAACCTGTAAGTTGATCTCTTCATATACAGAGAAGGAAGAGTACGTAATTTCTTACTCCTTCCGTCCAATTTATGTGAAGATGTTTGACTGGACACGAAGTTTAAGAATAAAATGAAGACTTTTGGAAACTTGTGGTTTAAAACAATTCGTAGATATTTGTGTGTCAATAAATGATCTCAGCAAGGGAAAAACGGGAAGAACAGAGTTGAATTGTTATTCTTTTTTGGACGGACTAAAAATGAAAGAGTGTCACATGAATTGGGACGGAATGAGTAATTTTTTCCAATGGAATTCAGATCCTTGTATCCTTCTTTAAACTCTTTGGTGTCATTTTCTTTTACTTTTTTCATTCCGTTTTTGCGGAGTTAGGTGAAGGGGTGTTGAGAGGCTCTCATAGTGTCAATTTCTGGTTGTATGTTGATAATTTTTACAGGGCTCATCTATGTCGAAACCAGCACAAGATTACCTAAGATTGAGGTCACTCGGTGCACCCGCAGTTCTCCTCTCATTAGCTATGCAAGGGGTATTTCGAGGATTTAAAGACACGAAAACTCCACTATTTGCTACAGGTAAGTAATTAGGGATGTGTGAGATGTGTATTTAGATTCAAACAACAAAATCTTAGTACACATCGTGCTTTTAGATTCAAACGTCTTAATTTTAGTTAAAAAATGAGGCCTAAGTCTGACTCCGCCTTTTCATTTCCTGTGTGTGTTTTGACATATCATACAGTGGCTGGCGATTTGGCAAATATAATTCTGGACCCTATATTCATGTTCGTTTTCCATCTCGGTGTCAGAGGTGCTGCAATCGCTCATGTAATTTCTCAGTGAGTAGATTCTAGTCTCTCCTCATGATAAATAAAATCGCGAGGCAACAGTTTCACTTATTAAAGAGTTTGCGATATGTTGGAAACATGTTCTTACTTGAATTTGTATTATAGGTACCTAATTTCAGTTATACTGTTTTTGAGACTATTGGAAAAGGTCGATATCGTACCTCCTAGTCTCAAGTATCTTCAATTCACTCGATTTCTTACTAATGGTAAGGATTTTCTTGCTTTATAAACTACTAAATTTTATAGTTTTCAATTAAGTATGAAGCCAGCTCCATATTTGTTAGGACAAGGCTCTCGAATTTCCTATGTCGCATTCTTATTGTATCAAAAGAAGCATGTTTGTTTTCTTTCTACTAATATTGTTCATCGAATCCTCATTACTAAGTGTCTTAGTTATCGCTCTTTTTTTTCTTCTATGTGTAGTACTATTTGTTGCTTCACTTGCTATTTTGCTGTCATATTTTCTTGCTACTATGGTTCGAATTCTTTTCTTATTTGTCGAGCTGATGGTCTATTGGAAACAACATCTGTACTCCCGCAAAGGTTGGGGATCAAGTCTACTTGGAAACAACCTATCTATTGGAAAGATGTTTTCTGAAATGTTGAACCACGTCCGTTCATCGGATTTCATTCTTTTTTTCTGTCTAAAAATGAATTTTCACTTAAGTGGCAACTCTAAATGTATACCTTTCGTACTCGTAAAGAAGTTCAACTGATTTTTTCTCCTAATTTCAGGCTTCCTGTTGTTAGTGAGGGTCATAGCGGCAACATTCTGCGTAACATTAGCTGCATCATTGGCTGCAAGGTTAGGACCAACACAAATGGCTGCATTTCAGGTCTGCTTGCAGATTTGGCTAGCTACATCTCTTCTAGCTGACGGATTAGCTGTCGCTGGCCAGGTGAGACGTGTAATCTACCCCATCAATACTTTTCGGCTGTCTCAAATAAACTAAAGAGACAGAGGAAAAGAGAAAGACCGGTAACAAATAAAACAGAACAATTTCAAACCAGATCGATGTATCACATGTTTTCGACAGTCACACCTCTGTATAACAATCATCTTCTCGAACAACATTTCACTATAACAATTATTTTTCCTGTGGAACCGTTCTTTCATCTTATGTTATATTATAAGTTCTCTATTCAAGCATTTCGCTATAGCTGCCAAAAAAAATAATCTGGACAAACGATGTTGTTATAGAGACGTTTGACTGTATATTGTTTCAGTTATCTCTAGTGAAACACATTAGTACTTTCATATTCGCCACCACGAGAAAGCATCAACGTTCATCATATTATGTGCGTAAACTTCAACGTTCCTTTTCCCCTTTCAGGCGATACTAGCAAGTGCATTTGCTCAAAAGGACTTCAATAGGTGTACTGCAACAGCATCAAGGGTGTTACAGGTACTAAGAAGTTATTCAATAGCAGAGTATTCATATATACGAGTATATTTTTAATAGCGAATAAGCTAGTAACGAACTAGTTCTTGAAAACGTGCAGTTGGGAGTAGTTCTAGGACTGGTACTAGCACTTGTTCTAGGAATTGGTTTACACTACGGAGCACGAGTATTTACAAAAGATGCCAATGTCCTGAACCTAATTGGCATTGGAATTCCGGTACACACCATCTATACACACGTCGTTGATACATTTACAAATCTTTTACAGAACTTATAACCATTTCTTCCAACTTCAGTTTGTTGCAGCAACTCAACCGATCAATTGCCTGGCTTTTGTCTTCGATGGTGTAAACTTTGGTGCTTCCGACTTTGCATATTCTGCATACTCGATGGTAAGCTCACTCGAAACATTCATTTCTTGCTGTCAACGCATAATAAACATACTATGCTCACAATAGGTATGAACTTCCCTTTTACATTGTAAAAGATTATAGTGTAGCTACATTAGTCTCAACCTATGTTGTTTTGACTCTTCAAAATTGTCGAAGGGTGTGCGTCAGATGCTTCAAAAGTAGTGCATTTTTTGAAGCGACAACATTTTTGGAGAGCCTGAGCAACATAGGTATCAACTGCATTTAAATCACTCACACTCACACTTCAACTCAATAAACGCCCTCAAACCACCCCCACTCCTACTCTTGTCTTCACACACAACCACACACACATTTCCAAATAGAGAATTACTTTCTCGAAGAACTCTTTCTTCGTGATGTTCCGAGGATATTGTCAACTTTTTTTGTAATTCATCCTGATCGAAGTAATTAAACGTTTATTGACATGAACACGTTTGATCTGCAGCTTACGGTGGCTCTTTTCAGCATTATATTCCTTCTCATTCTTTCATCAGGTTATGGATATATCGGAATTTGGGTAGCTCTAACCATCTATATGAGCTTAAGAGCTTTAGCTGGCTTCGGAAGGTAAGCATCCGAGAAACAAAGACTTATAGATTGTTTGGCCAAGCTTCCAGAATTTGCCTTTCGAAAAAGTACTTTTGGATGATAATAGTTTGTGTTTGACTAATCAATTGAAAAACACTTTTGCAATAGGCATAATATATATATAAACATGACTCTTTAACTTAGCTTTAGGGGGCAACTATGAGTGTGCACAAGTAGGCACCCTTTAACTTTGAGTGTGCACAAGTAGGCACATTCGTCATACATGGCGTCCTACATGACAATGTTGTGTCCAACATGGCGTCCTATGTGTATTATGCCATGTAGGACACGTGTGTCTACTTGTTCAATTTTATACAAGTTTAAGTGTCTACTTGTGCACACCCAAAGTTGGGGGGCATAAATGTCAATTGAAGCCAAGTTAAAGGGCATATTTATCATGTATTATGCCTTTGCAATATTAAAGCAATAGTTTGTGTCTGACCTAGGGCTACACAAGTTTTTTACTTTTTTTTCCTAAAATCTTTGATCAAACATGTTAACTCTCTAAAATAACCGCTTTTTGTAAGAAAATCATCACTTCGGATTTTCAGAAGATTGGCCAAACAGGCTATTAAGGCGACCATGGGATTCTGAAGCATAATTTGTTTATTTTTTGCTTCATGGTCTGCAGGATAGGCACTGGGACAGGCCCTTGGAAGTTCCTCCGGAGCTGAAGATAGTTAACATAGATATATCTAGTATAATTCCACATGTAGGATCGGGGCGACGTAGGATGTACGTAGCCGTTAGCCCTACGTTTGTGGGGATATAGTAAATTTGTATAGTAACCTTAAATTCCTTATAAGGACCAAGGAAAGCATAAGAGGGACCTTATATGGCATTTTTTGTTAAATGTTGTATCATAAAGTAGCACCTTTCATTTAATTCAATCAACACTTTGTAAATGTATAAGTATGTCCTTATTATTATATTATAATTTATTTGTCTCGATTTATTTGATACTTCATTTTCAGTCAGTCCCAAAAAGAAAATAATATATTTCTATGTCTAGTAGTATTATAACTTCAATATTTTTCATTTAATTTTACCTTTATTAGGATGATTTCAGTGACTCATTTAAGCCGGCCACAAGTTTCAACAATCTTCTTTTTTCTTTTAAACATTGTGGCCAAACAACAGTACCTTCATATAATAACTTGTTACATTCCAATTTGGCAAAAATCATGTACAAAGATTCACAAAGACATAAGATGGAAAAAATTGTGTGAAGTTACAAAAGATAGTGCACGAGTATTACATAATGATATGCTAACATCAAGGGTTGATACAACATTAGGTTCACGGAAATCCAGTAATTTTTTCTCAAATTCTATAAATTTATTAAATTTATAAATATTTGATTGTAAACTCGAGGGTCAGATCTTGATGTAGAAAGGAGCTCTTAAGCTGAGGTGGAGAAGAAAGCTTACGATTCTGTTACAATGGAAGCAGCTAAAGGAGTCTGCTTTGGTGACCCTATGAGGAAGTGTTGCTCAGTAAAGTCAGTTCAAACTTCCTGAATTATTATTGTATATTAACTTTAAAATTGTTGTATAGGAGGACAATGTTGTAATTTAATCAGACACTTTATTTTGTTTGGGGCTTCCCACGAATCTCGAGTGAACTCATATTTATTAAGTTGGTATTAACATCAACCATGAAATTAAAAAATCCTCGAGAGAGAGCTCACCGTTAACTTGCCAACGACTTTTGAAAATGAACTTTAGAAAAGGGTAATTAATGAAGAACATGCAACTGAAGAAGCAATTAGTAAAGTTTATAAGGTAACTTAAATTTAAATTTGTAAATCAACTAATACAATTCAACATCATTGAAATACAGCATTGGAGGTTGGAAGAATTAAGTCATACCATCCTTTTCTCCATTGCCTTTTTAGTTTTCTCTACATTTTCTCTTATTACCAAAGTTCTTTTTGTTACTTGAGTCTTCTTTTTTCAAGCGGTTCGTATTGGAATCTTTTGATGAATCATTTCCCCTTGAAAGATTCCAATTATATTCATCTTCAACAGGTGACAGTCTGGTAACACGCTGTGAAATACAAGGAAACTATATGAGATATATTTAAAATAAGTTTAACAATTTTTTTTATTTTGTCAAATATTTAAGGATCAAAATTAAAGGAGTAAATTGTTGTTCAACGTTACTTAATGCTAACGTAAGGAAAATATAATAGACATAATGTATATATGAATTACCTTATAGAGGTTGCTGATGGAATGAAATGTTTTACTTCTTGGTATTCCTTGCACGATATGGTAGTTTCCATCATTTTCATCCCTTCTCAAAAGTTTTGAGCCACAGTTGGCGTAACTGTCGTTTAAAGCACAATCAAAATTATTCAAAAATATGTCTACACTTGTGACTTTGTTGAGCTCAGTGTCACGGACTTAGAGTGTTGGCCAAAGTTCCGTGCGGCCCTTGACAATTTACTCACTACTCTTTCAAGATCTTGTAAACTCAAGGAAGCCTCTAAGACTTGGATCGCTAAGAGAATGCTTTTAAGGAAAGACTTAGAAAGAACAAGGAGAGAGTTTTTGGAAGAAGGCTTTTGTATTTCTTTGGAGAATGCTTTACACTTGAGTGATGCCTTTGCAAATGAGTGGCACCTCTATTTATACTACTTCCTAAGGACTAAAGTGCAATTAATAATTACATGAGAAGTCCCTAGAGTATTTACACATTGGCCCCTTTTCTAGAGAATTCTACATAGCCTTCTTGAAATATCTAAGGCATTCTAGAGTTCTCTACTTGACTCTAGAAACCTCTACGCCTTCTTAGCTGCAAAATTTGGCTCGGATAGTGGCGGGACATGACACGCTCCCCCACCTGATGATGCGACGACCGCGGCGCATTACTGCAGAAAATCCCAGACTTGGTCTTTAAATTGCCACAAGTCTTCATATTTCTCCCATGTGGCCTCCTCTGGAGATTGTCCCTTCCAATGCACAAGGAACATGGCGCTGGCTTGCTGACCCCGCTTCCGTTTGGCTTGATAATCTATGATAGCTTCAATCTCCCGGTCGTGCGAGGCAGTGACAGTAATGGGGGCCCGACGGGGTTGGTTCCGGCTAGTGTCTTCCTTGTCCTCATGGTAAGGCTTGAGGACGCTTGCGTGAAACACCGGATGGATTTTGAAGTGTGGAGGTAACTCCACCTTGTATGAAGTCTTGCCTACCTTGGCAACGATCTTGAACGGACCCTCATATTTTCGCACTAAGTTTTGATGGACACCCCTTAGTGCCTTGAACTGTCTTGGATTGAATTTCACCAAGACCATGTCGCCTTCCTTATAGTCCGTGGGACGTTGTCTGCGGTCGGCAAACTTCTTCATCTTGCTTGCTGCCTTGTCTAAGTAAGATTTTGCAGTGTCAAGTTGTTCTTCCCATCTTTTGGCAAGATGGTAAGCTCCCAAACTCTTCCCTTCAAAAGCGGCTCGTAAAGAATGGGGAGTTTGGGGCTGTTGGCCTGTCGCCAACTCAAACAGCGTGCGCCCGGTGGACTCACTCCTTTGCAAATTATATGAAAACTGCGCCATGTCTAGGAGCCTGGCCCAATCCTTCTGATGCGCACTGACATAGTGCCTTAAGTAGCACTCCAGCAGGGCGTTAACACGTTCTGTCTAGCCGTCTGTCTGCGGATGGAAACTTGTGGAGAAGTGAAGTTTAGTGCCAAGTACCTTGAACAGCTCCTTCCAAAAGTTCCCAGTAAAGCGGGGGTCTCTGTCGCTAATGATGTGTCTTGGCAGCCCCCAGTACTTTACTACGTTCTTGAAAAACAATCGAGCAGCCTCCTTAGCGGTGCATCCGGCTGTGGCGGGTATAAAGGTGCCATACTTTGAGAACCTGTCCACCACGACCATAATAGTTCCATACCCGTCGGACTTAGGTAGGGAAGTGATGAAGTCCATAGTCACGCTTTCCCATGGACGTTCCGCTACGGGTAGTGGCTCCAATAGTCCTCCCGGATGCCTTTGTTCTACTTTGTCTTGCTGGTACACAAGACAAGTCTGCACATAGCACTCGATATCGTCCCGCATGCGTGGCCAGAAATAGATGGCTTCGATCAGCGCCCTCGTTCTTCGCTGCCCTGGATGCCCGTCCCACGGTGTGTCGTGGCTTTCCTTGATTATTCGCCGCCTGATGGTCCCGAACTTCGGTACGTAGACTCTACGACCGGTTGTGAGCAAGAGGCCTTCCTTCACCCAAAAGCGCCTAGTCTTGCCTTGGGCTGCTAACTCCATCAGCTTCTTGGCTTCGGGGTCATGTTGCATGACATCCCTGATTGCATCTTGAATATCACAATGGGCTATAGTGATGGCAGCTAGCTCGGCCTTCCTGCTTAGCGCATCGGCCACAACATTGCCTCTTCCTGGTTTATACTCCAAGACGTAGTCGAACTCGGCTAGAAAGTCCTGCCATCTAGCTTGTTTTGGGGTGATCTTTTTCTGTGATTGAAAGTAGCTAGTGGCTACGTTGTCTGTCTTGACCACGAACTTGGAGCCTAACAAGTAATGTCTCCATGTGTGCAGGCAATGTACTATGGCAGTCATTTCCTTTTCCTGCACCGTATAGCGCCACTCGGTCTCGTTCAGCTTGCGGCTCTCGAATGCTATGGGGTGTTTTTCCTGCTTTAAGACTCCCCCAATGGCGAAATCTGAGGCATCCGTGTGTACTTCGAAGGTCTTAGAGAAGTTGGGCAGCGTTAAGACCGGCTCTTCCGTTATCGCGGCCTTGAGACCTTCGAACGCTTGTTTGCACTCCGCGCTCCACACCCATGGCTTATTTTTCTTTAATAACTCAGTCAGCGGAGCGGCCTTTGCGGAGTAACCTTTATGAACCTGCGGTAATAATTCGCAAGTCCGAGAAACGATCGCAGCTCGATCACGTTGGTGGGCACCTCCTATTCTTGGATTGCCCGTACTTTGGCGTCGTCCATCCGTAGTTCGCCCTGGCTGATGATATGCCCCAAGAAATGCACTTCGTGTTGGGCGAACTCACATTTCTCCCGCTTAATATAAAGCTGGTTTTCTCTTAAGACTTGGAAGACTTTCCTTAAATGCTCTACGTGCTCCTCCAAAGTGTTGCTGTAGATGACTATGTCGTCCAAGTACACTACCACGAACTGATCCAGGTAGGGCTGAAAGATCCTGTTCATCAGCCTGCAGAATGTGGCGGGTGCGTTGGTTAGGCCAAAAGGCATCACCAACCACTCGTATACTCCATATCTGGTTACGCACGCTGTCTTTGGCTCGTCTCCTTCTGCGATGCGTACTTGGTAGTACCCTTTTCGGAGGTCCACCTTCGTGAAGTACTTGGCCTGTCCAAGTCTGTCAAATAAGTCTGCAATAAGCGGGATAGGATATTTGTTCTTAATTGTTACCTTATTAAGCGCCTGATAGTCGATGCATAAGCGCAAGGATCCGTCCTTCTTCTTCTGGAATAATACCGGCGCGCCATAAGGTGCCTTAGATGGACGAATGTGACCGGCTTCGAGGAGCTCTTTCAACTGTTTCCTAAGCTCCTCTAATTCGGGTGGAGCCATGCGGTAAGGTGCGTGTGCAGGTGGCTTAGCTCCAACCTCCAGCTCTATCTTGTGGTCTACCTCGCACCTCGGAGGTAGGGTCTTTGGCAGCTCGACCGGCATCACGTCCTTGTTTTCTTCAAGGACCTTCTCTACG